CAAACGAGTATAAGGAAGCCCTGCCCCCCCCAGTGTGCTCATCACTCATCATTCAACGATTACAATGGTCGATCTCGTATCCTCCACATCCTTATCTACTTCCACTCTAATCTTTCTGGATTATTTTGAAGCAAATTCTAGATACCAAAGGACTTTATTGCAAGTAGTTCCATATCTCTAAAAGGTAAGGATATGTAAAAAATTCATGACAGTTCTGTTTTACCATGCCTAAAAATTTCTGGCAGTAATTCCTTAATATCAAAAGCTCATTTTCAAATTTCCAATTATCCCATAAAAGCCATACATTTGGGGGATAATTTTTAAATGATACAGTATCAGAATTACATTCCAAATAAAACAAGCTTATAACACTTTAGATAGCAACAGCAATAGAGCAGGAAAGTCGAACTGAGGTTAAAAAAAATAATGCCAGATAACATCCATATTGATATACTTTTCAGGAAAAAAAAAAAAGAGGAAAAAAAGATTAGAAATACTTCTGAAAGTTACTCTGTAAATAAAGCATCTGATACAGGAAAACCGTTGACCTCCTTGTTTTATTTCATAATTGTCAGTGTTCTCAGGATAGTTCATTTTTTATGAGGGAAAACACCCATTATTTTTAGGTCTGAAGACCATAAGATAAGCATATTTGAAACAATAACCAGACTTCATATAAAGAATATGATAAACATCTAAGAGTTTCAAAAAACAACCACAAAATAGCACAGACTTCAAAAGACACAATCAAACAGAACAGAGCTTAAATTTTGTATATGCTTGAGAAGAGAGTATTGACAGATCAGAGCATTCCATGAAAGATGGAAATCTGATTAGCACTCTAAATGACAGCAATTCCTGGGTTAAATCATGTTCACCAAGGAGGACTAAACTCCGGGAGCTTGGAAGGCCAGTGCGGGCCTTTGGAGCTTATCAACTTCTACTCCTTTCTGCTGCCATTCTGTTCCTCAGCAGTGTGACACAGACACACTGGCAGCCAGGTAGAGTCTGACAAATAAGAGTGCTCTGGCAGGCTCAATGAACACCACTGTGAAGTGCGAACAGCCCTATCAAGGCCAGCAGTTAGACCTACCTAGACCGTTGCACTGGGAACAGAATGATTATCACCGGTGCACCCGTCAACTGGCTGGTGACTGTTGGACATTTTGCCACCCGCGAGATAATCCTTCCTAGGAAATAATGCAATAGGGACTACTAATTCAAGGTTAGGCTTTTTCCAGAGTTTAAACCCAAGAGTGTCAGTGCTGAGGTGGTGGTGTTTAGAGATTATTCAATACTCTCTTCTCTCAGTTAAACTCAACTGAGTAGGTATTTGTCAGCCATTGAATGTATGCCCATTTGGAGTCCTAAGTACCCTGGGAAATGACATGAACAACAGCCCATGACTGTTTACAGAGGGCTTGCATGTGTGCCTCACAGGAATCCCGTGATTTAGGTAGGGCTGATGGTTATCTCTGTTTTGTAAATGAAACGGAGTCTGAGGAAAGTGAAGCGCCCAGAACAAGTCGCACAACTAATTAACAGTGGAGCTGGTATTAAAATCTGTATCTGTGGACTGTAAATACCATGCTGTAAGGATGTACAGCCCCGCCCTCGAACATTTAAAATTTATTTCTGAATAGACCAAAAATTCTTTAAGTAAGAGACAAATGTAAATTATGAGAAGAGTATGAAAAAGATTAAAAAAGTAAGTTTATGTGGAGAGAAGACTGAGAAAAGCACTTTGAAAATTGGCGCAAAACCTTATGCAAAACCTACTTCAGAGCTGACAGCATTTCTGGTGTTAAACTAGCTCTACAGATTTAGTATAGGAAAATCGTATTTATTTGTATTCTATCAAACTTATAATTGTGGTAATTTGAAGATAGGTTAGGTTGAAGTTTAACTTAAATCTGGGGGGAAAAAAATCTACACATTGGAAGTGTACCAGAAAAGGGTGTGAAGTAAACCCATTAAACAAAAGAAAGGCCATTTTGACTTAAAAACTCTTTTTAAGACTCTAGAAGTGTGAACACACGTATCGATGATGTGCCAATTAGGAAATTTTTGTATATGTCTTAAAGTACAAACATTTAGTTTGTTGCCACGTATTTTACAAACAGTAGTCTATTCTTAGATCAGATGAGCTGTATCTAGTTGATCAAACTTAAGGCTTAATCTTTAGGCTTATTCTTTACTTTTTCTTTATCCCTCACACTTATCCTTACTACCAATATTATTGTTTTCAAAATCTATTTATTTTATTTATGTGATTTTGCTTTAGCCAGGGGTGATTTTACTTTTCTTGTTTTGTAGCATATATCTGTAACTTTCTGAGACACAGCAAAAGAAAACTCTAGTGAAGAGAAATATTTTTGATTGCTGAGAAAAGGCTTTGGTGGGATGAATGTATTCCTCTAAGCAGCGATTACCTGTACAGAGAAGAGCTTCCCACATACAAGCTGATTTAGGGGGATAGGACCATTTCAACTGACTGGGAGACGGAACAGGCCTGGCTATGGCTGAGTAAGGAACGCCTCTCAGCACGGAGCTTTCTCTCTAAGTGTGCAGTTACGTCTTCCCCATGTGGAAGAAGGAAGGACTTCTTACTCGTCTAGTGTTCAGAAGGGCCTCATGAATAGTATGGCCTCAAAAGTTTCTTCTCTCCCCCTAGTTTTACTGAGATATAACTGACACCTAACACTACAAGTTTAAGGTGTAATGATCTCATGTCAAAAGTTTCTTGTATGGGTGACTTACTTCTCAAGATAAGTTTTTTTTTTTTTCTTAAAAAAACACTCCCTCTAAATTTCAGCAAAGCCCAGAAGTACTCTGTTGGGAGAGGGGAGACAGATATAGTTCCCTGTTCCAACATTTCCAGGAGGACCGCTGGGCTTAAGCCTCTATCACACAAAAAATGTCTTCTTATGACATTACCTCCAAATGAAGTTACACACAGTCATACAGACAAATGGGATTGAAATAGTAATAAGGAGAAAAAACACAGTATTTGTCATTCAGTTTTAAATTAGTGCAGCATTAATGAACTTCGCTATCTGGTGTAAAAGTATGAAATAATTTAAAAAGTATTTTATAATGATCTTGCATAATTATATTTTATGTTTCTTTTGGTGGAAGTATTTTTATACATCCTTATTTTTAAAAGTTTTAAAAATTGAACAGATTGTAAATTCTTCATGTTTTATAAACCAGACAGGAGCTTAAGAGAGACCCTGATTCCCCTTTGTCATTTCTCTCTTGTCTAAAACTTCAATTATCTAGTGAATAAAGTTTATTCCTGAATGTGGAAGATAGAATCTTGTAAAATATTAACACTACTAATTAAATACTCAAAGAAGAATTTCTCATTAAAAACATAAATGAAAGCTCTGTAGCTACTTTAGATTTTTGTAGTTTCCAAAATAAACCCAGATACGTAAAAATTTGGCAGTTGGGTTTGTCTGTTAGTTAAAAGGAGTTGGACAAACACATAATCATACATCTGCGACGACACTGAAAGTAAAAACTTTCAGCATTAAGCACACCAGCAAGCCACAAAGGCTTCGTCATAAACTCTCTTTAGTTTTCCTGGGAAGTTGTATTTCCTAGTTGAGGACCATTCAGCTTTTTTGTTCTATTAGCTTGAAAGGACGCATGGTTATTAAAATGCCAACAAGGTCATGTCTGCGTGGTGCTGCTTGGTTGTTATCAGATTTTAATAGCCCACATTTCTCAAATTAACATCTTCTGGTAGGCATCTAATTAAAGATTAAGCTATTCAATTTGAATTTTTATTATTATTTGCCAGCAGAATGTAATGCATTCTGTAAAAGCACTTCCCTATCCAAAATGATTTTTCATTAATTTTTATCACATTGTGCTTTTTCCTTCTCGGCAAATAATAGGTCTCAAAAAGACTAATGAGAAGACCCAATTTAAAAAGAAAGCAGTTAGATATTATGGAAATTTAAAATCAATAGTAATAACAGTAGTTACAGTGGTGGTGGTGGTAGTAAAGTAAACAATTTCCTAAGGTCTGACATTGAAGTCTTTAATAGACTTGAATTCAATATTGGATTCAGTCTCTTACCAGGGTTGCAATCGGTAAGAAGTGAGCAGATGGAGAGGAGAACTTTAGAAATGGTCAGGGCTGGACTCCAGTTGTCCTTTAGGATGTCCAGACAGATGACGCCCTGGCTGTTAATATTACAGTGATAGATTCTTGTCCGGAAAGTAACCTAGAAGAAAATGTAATGTTATTATAAATAGACATACTTTTTATTAGACAAAATAATCCAAGGGTCACTGGTAGAACCATATACTTAATTATTCCTTAGGCACCTGAGAAGCATCAAGAAACAAAATCATTATTTTAGAACTTGTTATTCTGGGCACAGAGAACTAAATAACCCCCAACAGCAAAATCATATCCTTTTGCTTTTGATGAAGAGTCCTATCGATTAGCTAGTGTTCTGGGGACTGAATTTGCTCTTGGTATTAAGTGTAGGAATGTTCGTAAGAGAAAAACTAGCTGTGGCTTCTAAAAACATTTCAAAGGGGTGCCTGGGTGGCTCAGTCAATTGAGCATAGGACTCTTGATTTCGGCTCAGGTCATGATCCCAGGGTCATGGGATCGAGCCTCACGCTGGGCTCTGTGCTGAGTGTGGAGCCTGCTTCAGATTCTCTCTCTCCCTCTGTCCCTCTCCCCCACTCATGCATGCCTGCTCTCTCTCTCTAAAATAAAAGTAACATTTCAAAGAAGAAATAAATTTCAAAAATAAAAATTTCAAAAGAAACTTGTTGGAGTCCAGTTGTTTTAAGGATTTTGTGTATTTTTTTTTTTCAACGTTTATTTATTTTTGGGACAGAGAGAGACAGAGCATGAACGGGGGAGGGGCAGAGAGAGAGGGAGACACAGAATCGGAAACAGGCTCCAGGCTCTGAGCCATCAGCCCAGAGCC